TTACATTGTGTTGTAATGATTTACAGCGCGTTGCATTGCTTTGGTTTGTGTTGCAGTGGTTTACATTACTCTGCACTGACTTGCAAATGCTTGCATCGTTTTGCATTATTGTCCTTTTGTTTCGCACTGATTCTCTTTGAAAATTAGGACCTATCCCTTCCCCCTGGGGTTAACGGGACACTCTTTTCGTACTGCCACTTACATACGAATCCGCCCCATCGCCCATCCGAACTATGAACTCTTACCATCCCAACAAAGCCCAAAGCCGGTATCGACCCCATCCCGTTATCCCTGTCAAATAAAACTATGCGGGCACTCTCGTTTATCAGAAACCAGTTTTCAAAGATATGCCTTGCAGAAACCGGGAAATTCACACGCGCGCGTCGTCGCGCGGGCATGCCGAAATCTCTCAAAAACCGCAGGTTCCGTAAGGATGTCACAATCGAATGTCCAAAACACACACTCACACACACATGAAGAAACACATGGTTTCGCAACAAAATGTTCAAACAAACTTCCGCGAGTTCTTGCGAGCTCTTAACAAAACCGTCAGCTTCTCCGCATTGGTATAACATGCAACCACACAGGTCTCGCGCGCGCAAGCCGAAACCGTTCGAACGCCCTTGCGCGCGAGGTGTCGCAAGAATCCGCGTTGCAAAAAAAATCGCCGAAGTACACAAACGCGCGTCTTCGTGCGCGAATGCCACAATCATTCGAAAACTTCTTGAATTTCGTAGCGATTGCAAGACCGAGTGTCCCGAAACCATCCAACAAAAAAACAAATAGCTTCGCAACAACCAGATTCAAAAAAAAATGCGCTTCCGCTTTTGCGAACCCCCTTGGGAAAACCCATTTTCCAATGGTCATGGAATTCTGCCAAAACTGGCCCTCGCGCCGCATGCCGAAATCATTCGACCGGCCTTGCGCGCGTGCTGGAGGGCACGATCCCCGTCAATAATACCACGAGGGCCACTCACGCGCGTCGGCCGCGCGCGCAAGTCCAACTCCGTCTATAACCTTCATCGCCGACGCGAAGGCGCCGTCATCGTCCACGGCGGGCGTGATCAACATCGACGCCGACATCGGCCTTGCCGTCGTCAGCGCCACCATATTCACCAGAATCGTGACTTGCATAATCGTGTCTACCATTGTCGGCGTCGCCAAGATACCGCGCCCGCCAAATCGCCGACTCGCAGTGAAATGCCCGCTGGGACGTGCCAATCGGTCGGCGCCACCGCGGCCGAATCGGTCGCGCCAAACTAGCTGGCCACTGTGCGCGCGAGCATGCGCGGTCTAGCGCGGCCGCAGAGATGAACCAGCCAACGCCAAAAACTCATCGCAATCGCCGCCGCATGGGTTTTGCAAACCAATGTGCGGGTGGGTGAGTGGGATGCTTGCAAGAGTGTGGGATGTGTCAACTCGCTTGTAAAAACCACTGTGACCCACATAAATTGCACCACCTGGATTGCACAGTCTAGGTTGCACCACATTGATTTTCTCCTTTCAAAAAATATTAGAATCTCCCCGCCCCTCCCCCCCGGACTTAACGGTTCCCTTCTTCTTGATGCAATGTACACGCGATTCTGCCCCATCGTCCAACCTAAATAAGAACAAATTCCATCCCAGGCAGGCCGGTATCGCCCCCCTCCATCATCCTCTGCGAAGAAACTATGCGCGCGCACTCGTGTACTCCAAGTTTCTTCATAAGCGCCGGGGAGGCGTCACCCCCGCAGACAGCCCCACATCGACCCCCGTCGCGGGCCGCCACCGCGAGCCGAAGGCGCTCCGACCCCAGTCGCGGCGCGACGACGAGGCGAGGTCAACCCCCGTCGGGGGGGGAACCCCCCACGGTTATCACGAAACCCAGAATATCAAAAACCATCAGTTGTCAAAAACCGTTTGCAAAAAACGGGACGAAATGCACACGCGCGCGACGTCGCGCGCGTATGCGGAAATTCTTTAAAAACGCTCGGTGTCGCAAGGATTTCAGAATCGACTGTCCCGAATACATACAAAACACATGTCTTCGCAACAAAGTTGTTCAGACGAAGCTTTCGCTGGGGCCCCTGCGAATTCTCAAGAAAGCCATCGGTGTTTCAACATGTTCATACAGTTATACCAATCGTGACACTGGCACGCGCGCGTGTCGAAATCGTTCGAACGTCTTTTACCCGCGTATTGTCGCAAGAACCCTTTGCAAGAACTATACGAAGTGCGCACGCGCGCGTCGTCGCGCGCGCATATGAAATGCCTCCAGGAACCTTTTTGGTGTTTTACGGATGTCAAAATCGAGTGTCAAGCACGTGACAAACGCGTGTCAGGTCCACGCTGCTGGTTAACATCTTATGTTTATACAGTTTCTTGTTCCCCGACGGAGGGGCCCAAAGGAACGCCGAGCCCCGTCCGAAACCAAAGCGGCCCTTGCATCGAGGCTCCAGGGCTGTGGGCTGCAGGTGTGTAGCTGGCGCCGCTCGATCCTGCTACGTCTGGCTGCGGATGCGCTGGGGGTCGGGGAGGAGCGCAAGGAACAACCAGCTTAGGGGGCAACTCCTGGCAGGTCGCCGAGACAGCGATCAAAGACTCGCAATCCAGCTTAAGAACGGGCTGTGAAGCCAAATGAGGCCAAGAAGAAGGCCGGATACAGATGAAATATGGTGGGCGAAAAACCGCCTCGCGGACAGGGCCCCTGGGCCGCGACCCCGCGGATACGGGGCGTTTTTTCGCGCATGCCCCGCGAGGGGCGCATCCGTGCGACCGCGTAACCGCGGGATCGCGCCCCGCAGTCCAGACCGCGAGGGCGTCGGTATTGAGGACACGAAAAGGTACCGATACTGCTACTCCTCTGACCTCTCCCTGGGTGCTTCGGACCAGGATCTCGAGGCGAATCCAGCGGAGGCGACGAGGGCCTCCAAGGAGGCCCGAGCAGGCTGAAACGAAGAAAGGGTAGCAGTACCTAGACATGCGATGTCTTGAGTTACTCAATGTGCGGTCCCTGGAAAACCCGACCCTTTCCTCAAGGCCGGTCTTTCGTTCCGAGTCCTTTTCAGACGGTCATGGGTCCACGCAAGGGCCCCCGAAGGCCGAAAAGAGGTATCGGTACATCTGATGGGCCTGTTTTCCACCACCACTACAATAGGTAGGAGGAGGAGGAGGAGGAGGAGGAGGAGGAGGAGGAGGAGGAGGAGGAGGAGGAGGAGGAGGGGGCCAGGCGGAGGAGAGAGGAGAGAGGAGTAGGGAGGGGGAGGGGGATGGAGGGGAGGAGCAGGAGGAGGAAGGGAAAGAGGAGGAGGAGGAGGACATCCCCATCCTCCTCTCTCCCCCGTCCTGCCTATGGTGGTGCTCGTGGAAGAGTGGCCCATCAGCGTCTTCCTGCTCTGAGGAGGCGGGTGCGCGCGCCGCTCGCGAAGAGCGGGCGGGAGAGGCGACGGGCTCCCCGCCGGAGCAGGCTGGGCCTCGGCCGAGAGGACGCACCACGGCCGCCCGGGCACGCCGTCGTGGCGAGGGGCCCCCGAGCCGCGCTGCCCTCAGGGGGGGGCTCCTCCTCCTCCTCCTTCCTCCTCCTCCTCCTCCTCCCTCTCTCCTCCTCTCTCCTCCCTCCTCATCCTCCTCCTCCTCACTCCTCCTCCTCCTACTCCTTCCTCCTCCTACCTCTCCCTCCTCCTCCTCCCTCCTCCTCCTCCTCCTCCTCCCTCCTCCTCCTCCTCCTCCTCCTCCTCCTCCTCCAGAGGCCCGGTAGGAGGGCAAAAACTTGTCTTGCGCTTCGTGCCCCCCCAGAGATCCAACGCACTGAACAAAAAATCAGGACGAGATTTTTCGCCATTCTCGGCCTCCAGGGGCCCTCGCCGGGCCACAGGGCCGTCAAGAAACGGCTCCTGGGGAAGGGGTCGAGACTTCGAGGGCCCGCGTGCTGAAAGAATCTCGGCATCGGATCTCTGGGTCTATGCGAGGCCGATGGGGAGCAAAGTCAATCCGCATAGCAAGGATGGGCAATGTTCCACAGGGTACCCTTGCATCCTTGCCTCCTCGGTCCATCCTTGGCCACTTTCGTTGGCTGCGCCCCGCTCGCAGAGTGTCAGCATGGCCTCACGAGGCCCTTGCATCCTTACCGCGCATTCTCATGATACGGTCTGGCTGTACATGTGAGCGACGATCAAAAAGAGGTGTTACGCGAGATGGCACAGCGACCTCACGCCGCAGCTTACGCGGGCCGCCAGCCCAGCGCGCCAGACCGGAGACGAGGTCGCTCACGCTCGACCTTGCGCGGGCAGCTTACGCGCCAATGTCGGCGGAGACGATCCCGTTATTCTGCGTCGGTCATGTGGTCATCCTCGCCGAGCGTCGGGGGCGAGAGAGCAAAGACGGCATCACTGCCACGCCAGTCGGAGGCACGGCCCCACCCCACTGCCGAAGAAGGGCTGCTGGGCCCTGGCGCAGAAGGCGGCGCGGACGAGTAATGTGACTGACTAGCTTGTTTTGTCACCGGACAAAAAAAAAACAACAACAAAAAACGAAAACCGAAAACTGGCAGCGTGACGACTAACAGGCAGTTGCCTCTCGTCTGGGCCGTTGGCTGCGGCCTGGAGGCCTCGACGGCAAAAGCAACGGCGAAACGTGAACATCTTTCCAGTCGTCCACCTCCCCAGTCGGGCGCTGCCACCACCACCGCTGGGTCATTTCAGAATCGCTTGGTCGCACTGCTGGTGTACTTGTAACCCCATCCCGCTTGCCATCGCTCGGACGCCCATGTCCCGTGCATTTTTCGGCTTCGTGCGTGTGTCTTGTTGCTCGATGGTCCAGGATGGTCCTCGATGGTCCCCGCCGAGAGAAAAGATGCACACGTCCGAGCGATGCCCAGCCCGTTGGGGGGCGGGGCCTGGCCCTCTCCGCGGACGCACGCGCGGGGCGGCGCGTGGCAGGAGCAGACGGGCCTACGCCGTCCCCGCTCTCGTGCTGCTCGTCGTCGTCGTCGTGGCCGTCGGGCGGAAGGCGGCGCGTGCGTCCTTGAACCACTCGGAGGGCTCCAGGCCCTCCACCCTCTGCGTCCTGCGGCGCCGCGGGCTGGCAGGGGGAAGGGGAGGGGGAGGGGGAGGGGGAGGGACGGGGAGGGACGGGGAGGGAGAGAGGAGCAGCGAGGGACGGGGAGCGAGGAGCGAGGACGAGGAGCGAGCGAAGGGCAGCGAGGGAGAGGGAGAGAGGACCACCGCAGCTCCGACTCCTCCTCCGCCAGCTCCTGTGCCACCACATCCCCCTCCTTACTCTCCTCCCTCCTCCTCGTTCCTCCTCGTTCCTCCTCCTCCTCCTCCTCCTCCTCCTCCTCCTCCTCCTCCTCCTCCTCCTCCTCCTCCTCCTCCTCCTCCTCCATTCCTTTTACTTATACGTAACCCCTCTCTGTCGCACCCCGAAGCGTGTCGGTAGGGCGGGCCGGGCCTTTCGCCCGAGACTCCCTCACCATCTGTGATCCCTAAGCTGAACGTCTGCAAGAGCTTCACGGATGGAGGGCGGGCCGTTTTCAAAAAGTGGCTCTCGTCTTAGCGCCGCGCACATTCGTCTTAAAGCTTGCAAGAACATGCTGCACGGATGGCAGGCCGTTTTTATCAAAACGTGGCTCTCTCCTCGCCGGGAAATGCAAGAGTTTCACGGATTGAGGGCGGGTCGTTTTCAAAATGTGGCTCTCGCCTTAGCGCCGCGCACATTCACTTTAAAAGCTTGCGGCAGTTTCGCGCATGGAGTGCGGCTCATGTTCAAAATGTTGCTCTCGCCTTAGCGCCGCGTACATTCGTGTTAAACATGTGCAAGAGCTTCACGGATGGAGAGCGGCTCCTGTTCAAAACGTGGCTCTCGCCCTGGCGCCGCGAACCTTTGCTTTTCCCAACCATCCTGTGGTGTTGGGTCCTCGTTTTGAAGAGACGTCGCCCCGCGTTCTCCTCCTCCTCGCCTCTCCTCTCCTCCTCCCTCCTCCTCCCTCCTCCCCCTCTTCCCTGCGTTTCACCCACCGAGTGCAGCGTTTCGTAGCCCCATAGGGAGCTCCACCGAAGGCCCCAGTGCCACCGTCCACATGCGTCCCCCCCACTCAGTACAGCGTTTCGTGGCCCCATAGGGAGCTCCACCGAAGGTCCCAGTGCCACCGTCCACATGCGTCCCCCCCACTCAGTACAGCGTTTCGTGGCCCCATAGGGAGCTCCACCGAAGGCCCCAGTGCCACCGTCCACATGCGTCCCCCCCACTCAGTACAGCGTTTCGTGGCCCCATAGGGAGCTCCACCGAAGGCCCCAGTGCCACCGTCCATATGCGCCCCCCCCCACTCAGTACAGCGTTTCGTGGCCCCATAGGGAGCTCCACCGAAGGCCCCAGTGCCACCGTCCACATGCGTCCCCCCCACTCAGTACAACGCTTCGTGGCCCCATAGGGAGCTCCACCGAAGGCCCCACTGCCACCGTCCACATGCGTCCCCCACTCAGTACAGCGTTTCGTTGGTCCCCATAGGGGAGCTCCAACGAAGGCCTAGTGGGGGTGCCCTAGTGCCCCCGTCCACATGCGTTCCCCACCACTCAGTACAGCGCTTCGTGGCCCCATAGGGAGCTCCACCGAAGCCCCCAGTGGGACCGTCCGAGTGCGTCCTGAAACATCCACTTTGGCATTTTCAGCCACCCATTACAGCGATTCGTGGCCCCACAGGGAGCTCCACCGAAGGCCCCAGTGCCACCGTCCGCATGCGTCCCGCACACACACACACACACAATGTGGCATTTTCACCCACCCAGTGCAGCGTTTCGTGGCCTCACAGGGAGCTCCGCCGAAGGCCCCAGTGGGACCGTCCGCAAGCGTCCCGAAACACCCAGTGTGGCATTTTCACCCACCCAGTCCAAAATTTCGTTGCCCCGTAGGGAACTCCACCGAAGGCCCCAGTGTCACCGTCCGCATGCGTCCCGAAAACCCCACGTTGCATTTTTACCCCCCCCCAATACAGCGTTTCGTGGCCCCTTAGTGAGCTCCACCGAAGCCCCCGGTGGGACCGTACGCATGCGTCCCGAACCCAATTTGGCATTTTCACCCACCCAGTACAGCGCTTCGTGGCCCCATAGGGAGTTCCACCGAAGCCTCCAGTGGGACCGTCCGCATGCGTCCCGGCAGCCCAAGTTGGCATTTTCACTTACCCAGTACAGCGCTTCGTGGCCCCATAGGGAGCTCCACCGAAGCCCCCAGTGGGACCGTCCGCATGCGTCACGAAAACCTTACTTGACACACCACTCACCCAGAACAGCGTTCCCCCCCACCCAGTGCAGAGCTTCGTGGTACCATAGGGAGTTTCACCGAAGAAGATGTTCAGAATTGCGGTACCCACAACTGCATATGGTTGGGTCCTTCGCCAGGATAATGTTTCAATTCGCAAGCGTCGTACTGATTATCATGGTTAACGTACTGGACATGGTGTTTTGGCACGATGTCGGACTGCCAGGGCGCAACCGCTACCTTAACTCGCGGTGCTGAAGTCCCAAGAGT